CCCCAAAACCCCAAAACCCCAAAACCCCAAAACCCCATTCTACGTAATTTTTAATGAAAATACTAATAATAATTTAAACTATAATGGAAGAGGACCTTCAGAATAATAATCACTTCTTGCCTATACTAGATGATAATCTCCTAAATAGCCATCTTGATTGGAGCCAGGGAGATAACTACCCACCCCAAATCCCTAATGAGTTCGATCCGAGTTACAAGCAAATAGCTCATAACTCAGAATCTTGCTTTGATGACCAACTCTGTCTGGGAGATCTTCCTGTGAATAACCTCGATAATATAAATTTGAAGGAAGAAATTCTTCCAAATTTCGGAGAGCCCTTAAGTCAGGAAATCTCAAAAGAAGAGGAAATAAAAGTTCCGCTTGACAAAAGTGCTAAAAGATCATGAAAACCCACTAAAACTGCTGAAAGAGTGACCAAAAGAGCTAAAATTAACGAAGACGATGCCAATGAGAGTCAGAGATCCAAAAACACAGGGGAATTATCTATTGAAAAGAAATAAAGAACTCAACAGAAAATCTGCATCCCAATGCCGCAAACGAAGAAAGGAATATGTTGAACAGCTCGAGAAAAGGGTTGATTTCCTCGAAAATGAGGTCCATTGCCTCAAACGAAAACTGAGATTCTATGAACAAAAAGAGAAACTAGAAGCTTTATCCCAAAAGGAGAGTATTCTTCAATACCTAACCGGAAAATACGATGAATATGACAAGTTAGAGTCCATTGTTGACAACTACGAGAAGACCAATATTGAAGAAACGGAGATTAACAAGATTATTAACACCATTAAGATCAGACAGAGCAGTCAGGGCTTTGTCAGGAAGCAAACAGTCAATTATCTCCTAAAGAAAGTCATCGAAAAAATAGTCCCTGGTCATGTTAAATATATTGTTTCCAGCTGTGCCAACGAAAATGGATATTTTGAAAAAGCTAGAGGGAGAAAGCTCGCCAAGAACCTTGAAGCCAAGACTCAGAGAGGCAAGTACGTTGACTATGCTCAAAAGTGCAGAGATCCGGAAAACCATATCTGGAAGGAGATCATATACGCAATGGGTCTTAACTCAGAAGAGATCAAGTTATTGAAAAAGCAGAGGGCTAAAATTTTAAAATTTAAAGAAAAGTTTTCAAATAACCTCTCGAAATTCCTCAAAATCAAGAAAGAGATGTTCAAAATCAGTGCTGACATTGAGAAAATACTCGATGATGTAGGAACCAACGTTAAGCCTATTCAGATTGCCAGATTCCTTAAATATGTTGACAAGATCAAGCACAGGAAAGAGATGGATGTGTTCCATCTCTGGGGAGTCAAGTCAAATAAATTCAGAGTCAGGAAAGATAAGATTGGAACTCAAGACTTGCTCTGCCCTTCTATTGAAAAAGTAAGACCCACTTATGCTCTTGTCAAGAAGAAAGAAAAGAAGAAAATGAAATCCGAGAATGATAAAAAGATAGCAAGCCAACTTGAAATGAATAAGCTAAAATTTGAAAGTACTCATGGGAATCTTAAAAGTTCTCCAACTCAATCAAACAATATTTCTCCAGATCAAATAGCAAAGGAGATACTTGCCACTGAAATAAAGCAAGAATATAAATCAGATGATGAGGATTCTCTCCAGGTTAAAATTAACCTTACCCAAAACCCAGCATTTCTTAACCTCAATCATGATTCTGACGATTCAGGACTTCCAGACTCCGCCTGCGAATCAGTTTCCTCTTCAGAAGAGTAGATGCGCTAAAATCGGCTTTAAATTTAGGTTAGATAAATGAAATTTTATTCCAAAAACTACCTTCTATTACGTAATAAAATTCACCTTTAATTTCTGACCAATAATATTTAATAGAATTTACTTTGATAACTCTCAGTTGAAGGCCTATTCTCATCATAAATTTCAACTAGAGACCCTAATAATGGGGTTTTGGGGTTTTGGGGTTTTGGGGTTTTGGGG